CCCCAAAACCCCAAAACCCCAAAACCCCAAAACCCCAAAACCCCAATTTTTAATACTAATATTGAAAAATGCAGAGGGAAATCAACTCTTTGATTGACAAAATTGAGCTCATGAGCATCAAACTAGGAGGTAAACTCTAAATCCTAAGGAAATATCACCGATTTAGGCCCCATAAAGGAAGAAGACCTTGCTGACTCTTTTGGCGGTCTAACCAACATCAATAGTGGAAAGAGTAATCCTCTTTTAACATGTTTAGGATATGAGTTTTTCTTACAAGTTGTGAAGGAGAACTTAAAATTAATCCAAGAAACTCTTGATGAGAGGAGGGTAATCATCCTCAAGCATGGCTACAACTCATCAGAGAGAATCATCATTGATGAGGACATTAATATGTACATCCAGGACTCCCAGCAAGGAATCCAGAAATTGAAGATGTAAGCACCTGCAATCATTTCTGAAGAAGCGACCAGGCCTGACTATTGTATATAGATCAGTTGATAAGGACAAGAAAAGGTTATCACCAATCGAAATCACAGAGAGGTGTAAATGTAAGCAGTCACTTCAGTTGTGTTTCAGCTTTGAATAACAGCTAAATAACCTCACATAGGCATCAGTTTGCTCCGAAAGAACCTTAACCTGCTAATAAAACAGTTTAAAGAGTCTGCTAAAGACTATATTGGCATGAGGAGAGCATCTGAGGACAGGAAGATGCTCCTCGACGATAAGGACGAGTATGAAGGTAACAGAAAACTCACTGAAAGTAAGAGCCAGTTTTCTATAATTCAACCAACTTTGGCAACATCTAATCTTTACCATTTCTGTAGAAGAGGAGAAGGCATTGGAGGAATTCAAGAAAAATGATGAAGAGCTTGAAGAAATCGCACTCAAAATAGCTCAGTCTTTGGAAGAACTAGGGGATAAGCAGAAATAAGGTGGGACAGGAAGTTGGAGCACAATACGAAATGCTCGTACAAGCAAATGCTGACGCAGAAAACATTGAGTTTGAACTTGGGCGCCAGAACAATGAACTGACTAGGCTCTTACATAAGTTCCGTAATGGGAAACAAGTATGGCTTGATTTCCTCCTCATCTTCCTTCTTTGCATCTTTTTGACGCTCTTATGGAACCGACTGAAAGCAAAGGATTTTATTTAATTTTCAATGTACATTTGAAAAGTGGGGTTTTGGGGTTTTGGGGTTTTGGGGTTTTGGGG